CCTCAAAAGGGACCCCAATTTAGAGAACTACCCATATAATTGTGCCGACCCCTATCTTTACACTTTCCCCCAACCGCCGAACTAGCTGTTCCCCAGCAGTCCAGAAAGAGCTGCAAGCTCAGCACGCCGCGAGGCTCCATGCCTGCCAGTTACACGAATTAACTGTTTAGGAGGTAGGGTTAAGGGCTAAGGGTTTAGGACTTAGGGTTTAGGGTAAGGGGTTTAGGATTTAGGGTTAAGGGTGTAGTTTTAGTTTTACGTTGCGGTGGATTTAGGATTTAGGATTTAGGGTTTAGGGTTCAGGGTGAATATGAGCATTAGTGCATCTATCGTGGAAGATAGTGCTCATGGGTACTAGGATTTGGTAAAACAGTATTGATACGACTACCGTGACGGTGGTGACTACGGAGAGTAGCATAACTATGCTTTGGAGTGCTAATGTGCAACTTCATTGCAGTCATTTCTAGATAAATAAATCAATAAACATACTAATTTATTCATTTATTGATTGATTTATTCCACATATGCTAGGACTACTGTGACTACCGCCTTAGCACCACTATCACATTTGCTATCCTACTCTATAGCTAGGACTAAAGTTGGTGTTGCCACGGTCATTTGCTTAAACAGATCGCAGGTAGAGCTGGTACGGGTTCCTTCATAGTTAGAGCAGGGTTTGGAGGTAGGTTGCAGCATCTTATCGAGCACGACCGAGAAACAGCTTTGTTAGGCTTCTACAGCTTCATCATTGCAGGGTATGACATTTCGAGCTCGCCGGGTTTGGGTACTTCGGCAGTGGAATTCTGCAGGTGCCCCTGAGGCTCTTCATTCACATGAGGCTTTCTTGAGCAGCCTGGAGTACGGGATTGCTTTTCAGGGTCTGGAGGGTTTAGTGTTTGGTTGGCTTTGAGTGTTGCGGTGTATGCCCTAAACCCTACAAACTGTCTGGGTATGTTGTTTCGAGACTTGCTCGTGATCATCACTGAGGGAGGGGATGCGAGGGGATGAAGGTTGAGAGTTGATGGGTTTAGCTTATTGCCTTTTAGGGTTTGGGGCTTATGGCTTTTAGGGTTTAGGGTTTAGGGCTCGGCCCCACGCAGTCTGCGCCCTCTTGTTCCATGGGGCCCCTGACCCCCGGCGCCCACGACATGCCGTGGCATCGCCTCCACCGTACACAGCCAAGAGTCGGTTTAGGGTGTTCGCACATGGGTGTCACCTTGCGTCCCTCGGGACTGAGTCGTCGACAAGTGCCTGCCGAACATAGCATGCAACTCCTGCGTGATAAGAAGTTTGACTCGATCCACAAGACCAATACTCCAAACCACCATATATATATATATATATATGCATGTGTGTGTATATATATATATATGTGCGTGTGTGTGTCGAAGCCATCATAGTTGGATAAGAGGGCTGCGATACATAGGGCTGCTGGCAGCCGCCAAGCAGGCCGTCTGGAACTCCGCGCGCTACAAGACAGGCCCGGATCGGATGGGCAAACACTTCCGCCAAAAGGTGATGCCGCATGCAACCAAGCGGCCCCTGGTAATAGGTAGGGTTTAGGGTTGTAAGGTTTAGGGATTATGGTTTGGGGGTTTGAAGCTTTAGGGTTTAAGGGTTTTAAGGTTTAGGCTTCGCGCAGGACTTTGGCTGGGTCTTGGAGTGGTCAGCAGACAAGAAATGGATGGATGAGGTTTTCGGTTCGACACCAAAGTGGCTGTGCCGCAAACCCACTGAAAGAAAACGTATCCATTTGGTGCTATTTGCTGTTGCAATCGGAACCCCCCCCCCCCCTACACTGCATACTACCCTAAAACCCAAATCCTGAACTTAACCGTATACCACTGAACAACCTTGAGAACTGGGTCTTAGGAGCAGCCAGGACTCCAGGACCCACAAGCAAGTACCAAAGCACACAATATCCAATACCACTTCATCATGTAAGGTTTAGGGTTTAGGGTTTAGGGTACCCTATACCCTAAACCTGTCACTTAGGTTTTAGGGTCAGCCTAACACCCTGACTGACCCGCCATGACAACGCCACAATAAGAACCACGGCAACACCAACTATGACAGCAATCCAGCCTGCTATAACCCAGCAACCGTAGTTGAAGAAACAATGGCTAGCTTGCCCTGAACCCCAAGCCCCAAACGGCCTATAACCCCAAAGGGTTTAGGGTTTAGGGCTTTAGGGTTTTAGGGTTTAGGGGTTTAGGGGTTCGGGGTTTAGGGTTTTAGGGGCTTAAGGGTTTAGGGTTTAGGGGTTGAGGTTTAAGGGATTAGAGTTTAGGGGTTTCGGGTTTAGGGGTTTCGGGTTTTGGGGTTTAGGCACCCGATGGACCTGGGACATCAAGGCAAGTCATGTTCCCGGGCTCGTGTCCAACAAACTGAGATTTGCAGATCCTCGCGGAGACAGTTACGTGCAAAGCGTCGACACGGCTTAGCAGAGGAGCCTAAATGATGCAAAATCCTGTTCCTTCTGGCCCCTCGTTTGAACTGTACTCTGATATGCCCCAAGACCCGTTCTAGTTGATAAGGCGCCTATACTCGGGTGTCGGGTAGGGGGCTTAAAGACTGGATCTCGTTACGTTGTTTTCCGAGATTGGGGCTGTTGCAGAAACGTAAACCTGGGGCAAGAACCATCTTAGTAGATGAGAATCGAGTGCGGAGCTGTGCATGACCCTGACCGTAAACCCTAAATCAAAACCTTAAACCCTACACCCTAGACAAAGCAAATCGAACATGACTCTGAGGTGCCTAGCAGAAACTTTGCATTAAACCCTAAACAAAGCAAGTCGAACATGACTCTGAGGTGCCTAGCAGAAACGGCCTTGCATGTCCAGCAGTCCTGCCATTGTCGCCTCCGCTGAAGACCTCGCCACAGAAAGCCCTAAACCGAAATAAACCCTATAAATCCTAAAGCGACAACACCCTGCTTGGAGGATCATGGGACTTAGTAAGTGGGGTTATAAGTCCCTTAATTGGGGTTATAAGTATAGTTACCCTAGTCATAACCCTACTTACTAAGTCCCATGATCCTCCAAGTACACCCTAATTCAGAGTGACAAACACCCTGCCTAACAGAGAGGTGCAGCGAAACTCAGAGTAATGTACGGGCATTCGCAACTAGAAAAAGGGTTTTGAAGGGTAGATTATACTATAACAATATAATATAATAAGGAATCCTCAAAATAGTATAGGAAATTATTTCGGCCCCTAATATAGGGTTTGGAAGTCCACCCTAAACCCCCCTGCGGGTTCACTTTCCGGGGTGGTTTTGTGTCGGT